TCTCCGGACACGGGGACGCCGTCTCGTGGCGCTCACAGGGATTGCAGCCAAGCCGTGCTCGCATCCCTGGCGCTGGCTTGCACTGGACTCTCAGCCTGAGGATGCTGTTTCCGGGATTTCTGCCTCAGTTTCAGCCTGACTCATCACTGCCCCACAGTCTTTTGCTCCTTTAAAAATATTATTTGTTTTCTTCTAACGTTGAACGTCTGTAAAACGCCCCCGACCCCCACATCAGAGGTGGAATCGTGGTATTTCTCTAATGTCTCAGCTCCTGGCATTCAATTAGCGCTCCCTAAATCTTGAATTCAACTTAAGTGTCTCCTCCGCGCAGGCTTTTGATCCTCCGCATGCAGAACCTTGTAATCGTCGTCTCCCACGCCCGCGACACACACGCACACAGCACATGCACCCACCCTCCCAGCAGTCTGAGAGCTGGGACCGAAACGAAACTACAACCCCCAGCATGCTGAGCACCCAGCGGCGCGTCGTCGTTAACGTAGCGCGCGGCATCCGGGAATCGTAATTCGCGCGTGCGCCCTGGCTACTAATCCTTCTCCCCGACGTCACCGCGCGTTGTCCTCCTCGCCCTCCAGGCTGCCCGCGTTCCGCCCGAGTCCCCAGCAGTCTGAGAGCTGGGACCGAAACGAAACTACAACCCCCAGCATGCTGAGCACCCAGCGGCGCGTCGTCGTTAACGTAGCGCGCGGCATCCGGGAATCGTAATTCGCGCGTGCGCCCTGGCTACTAATCCTTCTCCCCGACGTCACCGCGCGTTGTCCTCCTCGCCCTCCAGGCTGCCCGCGTTCCGCCCGAGTCTGACCACCGTCCTCTACTTACTGCTGCTGCTATGCTGCCAGCCGCGCTGCTCCGCCGCCCCGGCCTGGGTCGCCTCGTGCGCCAGGCTCGCGCCTACGCCGAGGCTGCGGCCGCCCCAGCCCCCGCCGCGGGCCCGGGACAAATGTCTTTCACCTTCGCCTCTCCCACACAGGTGCGGACGCCATTCCGGACCCCGGGCCCGGGCAGGAACCTCCTAACCTCCATTCCGAACCCGATTTCTCCATCCCCCAGGTCGCCGATCCCCATTCGGTACCCACAGTCCGAGACCCCCAACCCCCAGGTCGCCGACCCCTATCCGGTGCCCCTTCACCGTGTGGTCTGGGGCCCTGCCACCCCCAACCTCCCAAACTCCCGGACCTACCACCTGGAATTCGACACCCAAGGGCCGGACATGCCCTTTAAGCCGGGATTGCCCCTTGCTGGAAGCACCCCTCCTGAGATCAGCACCTCCTATGTGCCTTTCCCTGGCAGGCACCTCCTCATATCCTTACAGCATCTCTGCCGAAGGGCTTGGGTGCTAGATTTCGTTCTCACAGATGATGGCACTGAGGTCCTGCCCAAAGAACAGAACCCAAGTCGGCCGCAGCGCTGTCTGCTTCTGTGTCTCCCATTGGCACTCAGCTCTGCCCAGCCCATTTCACTACTTGGGAGACTGAATCCCGGTGGAGTGGGCCTGGCCTGCAGTGACCTATTATTCCTCATGTGTCTTCTCCAGGTCTTCTTCAATGGCGCCAACGTCCGGCAGGTGGATGTGCCCACGCAGACAGGGGCCTTCGGTATTCTGGCAGCCCACGTGCCCACCCTGCAGGTCCTGCGGCCAGGATTGGTTGTTGTCCATGCTGAAGATGGCACCACCTCCAAATACTTCGGTGAGTCCAGCAGGAGGACAGAGGACTGGGCTGAGCAGAGCTGCACGTTGCAGCAAGCCAGTCCCCATTTCAGCTGGTATGGCAAGAAAAAGTGCTGTGCGCACTCGGAAGACACAATAGGAAGAAAGCCAGAAGCTTTTTTGCAGCTTCCAGCTCCTTACTGGCTGTGGTTAGAAGCTTGTAGTGGGTTGGAGGAGGGTGACAGATCTGGGAAGAGAAGTAAAATGGTGCTGGTTAGGTGTGCTCTCCTTTCCCGAAGCAGCCCCCATCTTGCCCTTCCCTCTCTTCTTCCTCCACAGGCCTCTCCTAAACGCTAAGAGACCCCACAGAGACTTGCAACCAGGGAGCAATGGGCAGTGGCAGCTTGTCCTGGGCTAACCCTCTGTCCCTGTCCCCAAGGCCCCTTTTTTCACTGACATCTTAGTAAGCCGAAGCAGCCCAGCCTAGCCTCATTTCCCCTCCTAGTCCCTCTCCTGTTGTTTCTTCTATCCTAGGCCCTTCCTTGTTTCATTTTTCCCAGCTTCCTCTCCTCCTGCAGTTAGCAGCGGCTCGGTCACAGTGAACGCTGACTCATCAGTTCAGTTACTGGCTGAAGAGGCTGTGTCGCTGGACATGCTGGATTTGGGGGTAAGTGTCCCAGCAGAAACTGAGGCACGAGCTAAGGGCTTCTGGCTTTGGGGGTGAAAGGGCAGGTGCCAGGACAGGGACCCTGTTTGGACCTCACTAACCACCACCTACTGTAGGCGGCCAAGGCAAACTTGGAGAAGGCACAATCGGAGCTGTCAGGGGCATCCGACGAGGCCATGAGGGCTGAGATCCAAATCCGAATTGAGGCCAACGAAGCCCTGGTGAAGGCTCTGGAGTAGGCGGTGCGTGCTCCTCGCCGGTGTCAGTGGGGAAACCAAGGCCCAGAGTGGGACAGGGGCTGGAACCAGCTCTCATGGGTCCAGTATGAGGGTGGGGGCAACCCCTCTGGGAGGTAGCCATCCTTGCCAGTGAGGCCACCAGGGGGCAGCAAATTGCTAGCTTCTCCCAGTGCATACCCCCTGGGCCCAGGGCTGGTGGCAAGGGTGAGCTCAGAGACCCTGCTCTGCTCTTGGGGGGACTGTCACCTAGGGGATTTGCCTCCCACCTCCAAAGACCCCACCAACCTGACCTGCTGCCCTCCACCCTCATGCTGTAGAGACCTCTCCTCCCTCCTGCCTTCTCTGGACTGCTTATCCCCAGTGTGCACCCCATTAAAGACCAGGGACCCCCACAGTGTGTG